AAGTCCCAAAGCCACATGATTTCCAAAATATTTATGAAATAGCAGCATTCAAATAATATGCCACAGATGATGATGGGAGACAAAAACAGTGTTTGGTTTCTAAATTACGCATATGATTACAGCTCAAATTATATTTTGACCAGGGGCTCCTGGGTGGCTTAGTCGGTTAAGCGTCCGACTTTCGCTTAGGTCATGATCTCGCGGTTCGTGGGTTCGAGCCCCGCGTCGGGCTCTGTGCTGACTGCCGGCTCAGAGCCTGGAGCCTGTTTCAGTCTGTGACTCCCTCNAGAGAGAGAGAGAGAGAGAGAGAGAGAGAGAGAGAGAATCCCAAGCAGCCTCCACGCTGTCAGCATGGAACCCAACATGCAGCTCGATCTCATGAGATCCTGACCTGAGCCGGAATCAAGAGTTGGACACTTGGGGCGTCGGGTGGCTTAGTCAGTTAAGCGTCCGACTTTCGCTCAGGTCATGATCTCGCGGTTCGTGGGTTCGAGCCCCGCGTCGGGCTCTGTGCTGACTGCCGGCTCAGAGCCTGGAGCCTGTTTCAGTCTGTGACTCCCTCTCTCTCTGACCCTCCCCTGCTCACGCTGTCTCTCTCTCCTAGAAATAAATAAAACATTAAAAAAAAATTATATTTTGACCAGATTTTGCTTATTGTACGTTTTCCTTTCTGCCAGTGAAATGTGGGTTCCATTCTGTTACACAGAATATTAAAAGGCAGATACTGAAGGAAAATGAAAGTTTCTTCACATTTAGGGCAGGCATTCAGAAAGTGGAATATAGGTAGGCAAAGGATGACTAACTGAGGGTTTCAGTTTGAATCACTGAATGTGATTATCTTCCCTAGAGTAAGGTTACCTGTAGGCAATTAATATGTAGTGAAGGCTGACCTGGCTAAGGGTTTGCTCAGTGACATGCAGGTCCCATCTCCTTGAGATGCAGTCCATCAGATCCAAACAGGGGAGGAAAATATCTGCAGTTAAGAGACCCGAAACAGCCAAACAGAGTTTCTCAGCAACATTCTGTAGTTCTCCAAGTTCAATCCCTTGTGTTCTGGGAAGGTACTATTATGTGGTTTGAGGAAGTTTAAAAATAACCAGCTTCCTACGTAACTGGTAGTAAGTTATTTAAACAGTGACCCTGCTTCCCAGAATTTCTCAGTGACATAGGCATTTCATCCCGGTGACCACTAAGGACCCTGTAAACTCTGCCTCCTGAGCCCAAGAGAGAAAGAAACACATACGAACAATATTTGTAATACAGTACTGAGCTCATGTCAGCGCTTCCCTGGCATTACAGTCGTGCTGTATTTATCACAGTGATGGCTTGTCGCCGTGGTGCGTGGTTGGGGAGCTAGGTTTAAGTTCAGGCATGTTCCGGGGAGAGCTCACCAGTGTCAGTACACTCCCAGCAACTTAGTACACTGGTGTCATCTGCGCTTGTTATTTCGATCTGGGGGTTTTGCCCCTTGAAAAGACCATAATGCTCACATTTATTTGCCAGCCACATTTACTAGACCAGGTTCTATGATAGGTGCTAACTTGTATTTGTGGTTTCATTCAGTTTAGTCCTGACTGTTACTTTTGGTTAAAGTAGCCTATTCACACCCACAGAACACATGATGGAGGTGAGATTCCAGCCCAGGTCTGTGTGATCTCAGAGCACCCACTCCAGTGCACCACGTCCCTCCCTGAGGTCTATAAAGAACTGTGCCTTTTGAGTTACAGTTTCAACTGCTTAATATAATATAAATATAATATATATTTATATATATATTATATAAAAATAATCTTTTCTAAAAGCAAAGGTTCATGCCATGCCTTTCTGGCTGATTTGGAAAGAGGTTTCTGTTTGCCTGGGACAGCATGTGCCTCTGAGGATGATGAAGGCATCCCAGCACGCTCTGCAATAACATGCACTCTTTATGGCATTGTTTTCTGAAAACCTTAGACAGTTGAGATAAAGCGGTCACTCTGCCCACTGTGACAACCCAGAGTGTCTAGGAGGCTCTTAAATACAATTGCTTTCCACCCCTTGAGATCTCAAATGGGCATAAGATTAGAATGGGAAAGGAAAAAGCAAAAATAAATAAATGAGACTATAAACTCAGGAGACAGCTCCCACACTCCACTGTGAGTTGACATGATTTCCCCCAAAATACTTAAAGAGTGTTTACTTGTCCAGAACTTTTGTTGCTCTAACAATGATTAGAGCCCTCTCTGACCCATTTCAATTGGTTAATTTTTGTAATATCCAGTATATATGCATGGTACAGATTGAGAATGTTCACATGGTATAGTATTAGGGCCCCCAAACAGATATCCTACAGGTGGCTGGAGCAGTGGACAGCTTCATGACAAAGCGTCCCAAATTATGATGCAGTCTCAGCTCTGTTCACCTTGCCAGGAGTTCATTTTGCCATCATGAGGGTTGTGCATGTGAGTAACTGATATTATCTGCTTTGCCTCCCTGCAGTATGGATAAATGTTATGTCTTCAAAGCCAGGCCTGGATCGTAAGGCTGAGGGGTGCCCAGCCTCAGCCACGTGCTGACCTAGAAGACCCTACACATGTCACACAGGCCCACCACTGACCCCAGTGCAGATACCCCTCCACATGGAGCAAGGCACCAGAGGGGGCCTCCCTTCCTTGAGGGGCGGGGCTCATCTCAGTTTATCAGAGAGAATCTCATCATGTCAATCCTCAAAAGATTCCTTCTATGATATTCCTGGGCATCTGAGTAAAACAGATGATTCCCTTCCTCACATGAGGGGAAAATGCCAAGCCCCTCAAAGATCTTGTTGCACACCTCTTTTAGGACATGATACGTGTGCTCTGTATTTATAAAAGCTAAGAGAGGACACTCTGGTAATTCTTAATAGAAAAAAAAAGAGTTTTGTGGCTTTCATTACACATAGAAGCAGATATTAACTTTAAGTAGCAGCTTCTTACTACTTAATAAATAAATAAACACTAAGTGTACAAACATGTCTAAATGAGAAGAGTTGGTAGGTAGATAGGATGGGTACTGTACTTGCCAAGCATCCTGATTATATGTACACGCACACATTAAACAGCTCAATGAAACAATCTGTCAGAGAGTTTGCATAGACCATAATTATGGAAGAAATGCAGGGAGCACTGTGTCAGTGTGGACCAGTGGGTTTTGGGAAGATGTGATGATGTAGAGGATGTTTAGCTAATTTTGGATGATTGACAATATTTAGAAGGACAGAAAAAGGAAGAGCATTTCTGTAAGAAACAGTGGGACCCAAATGATGGATTTTATTTTTATTTTATTATTTTTTAAATTATTTATTTTGAGAGAGAAAGTTTGAGAGAGTGCAAACGGGAGAGAGAGAGAGAGGAAGAAAGAGCAAGTAGGGGAGGGGCAGAGAGAGAATCCCAAGCCGACTCCGCACTTGTCAGCACAGAGCCCTACACAGGCCTGGTTCCCACGAACCATGAGATCATGACCTGAGCTGAAATCGAGAGTCAGACCCTTAACTGAGCCATTCAGGTGCCCCTAAAATGATGTATTTTAGAGGACAGTGAAAGCATCAGTTTTGCTGGGATGGGAAATGTGAATACTAAGAAATAACGGGGACAAACTAAAGTCTTTTTACATACCTGGGTGTTTTCCATTTTAGATGGATGTTCACGTTTCCTTATGTTTATTTTTCTTTTACATCCACTATGGTTAAATACTGTGGTTAAATATATTATCTCAAATTCTTTATATAACTTCTAAGGGAAACCATGATAAGATTGTTCATGAAGACAGTTATGTAGCCATTTCATAAATATGCATTCTTCTCTTTAAGATACATACATACATACATACAACACATATATCCATGGAAAAGGGCATAAGATATGTTCAGATATCACTGAAGATGCAGGTCCCTTGCCTTCCACAAGTGAGAGACTGCACAGTAGTTTTCCATGTGTTCGAGAGACATCAATAGGTTCCTTCATGAGCCTTTTCTTGCAGTCACCCTGGGTCAGGGTTGCGAGTACAGGGAGCACGTAGTTCTACATGGAGTCCTGCAGAAAGTTGTTGTGTCTGAGATCAAGGTAGGTTTCCACCCCCTTGGTCCAGCCTTCCTGACAGTGGAACCAGAGCCAATTTGTACAAGAGGATGATTGAATTCTTTTGTGCTTATGTTCTTTTTTCAAGAGCAGATTCATGCAAAGCTCAATTACCTTTGAACTGCTTACTTTAAAAATAAATAGTAATCAAATTTGGTGTGGATACAGATAGTGATACACTTCTACTCACATTAATTTTACCAGATTAATGTATGTATTTACCAAATTCTGTTTTTGCTAAAATAGTGTTGATTTGGCATTTGTCAAAGGAGAGTGAATAATGAATTTACCAAGTTAAGTTGTGAATAGCTGAAAGCTATTAAAAGATGTACAGTGGAATTTAACATACTGTATCATCTATCAGATGTCCTCTTTTTCCCCTCCCCCTCCATCTCCCTTCTCTCTCCCTCTCTCTCTCTCTCTCTCTCAATGAACTGGAATACTGAGAACACTGGATTTAATATAATGGGCAGGTCTTCAAAGGGGTGTATATGGATCATCCTTGGCCTTATTTTTGTAATGTAGAACTCTTAATCTCCCATATTACTGAATAAAAATTGTCTGGACCTGTGTAGCTTAGTTAATGTACCTAACAGATACAGTTGCATTAGATAGCTGTGGAAAATGACTTGCTTTTCAGAGTGAAAGTTTTGAACTGTCCTGTTTATTTTCATGATTTAATTTACAATATGTGACTTTCATATATTGCAGAGATTTTCATGAACTTACTAGACTACTTAGTACTTTGTATAATTTAAATTAATCATAATTGTTCATCAGTGAAACTTAAAGCCATGTGGCATCATTTTATGCATCATTTTCATGCCATGTGAGAAACCCGATACTCTACTCCCACCACCATCTTCCCAACAAACCCAGAAAAAAGCTGTGCTTTCCTTCTCATTGTAGATTGGCGGATGCTGCAGCCTCACCGTGTTCTGTGTGCGTGACAACAGACTGACTCGGATACCTGCAGAGGTGTCACAGGCAACAGAGCTTCATGTCCTGGATGTGGCAGGGAACAGGTAAGCATGTCCTGGTTTCCCTTTTTTGAGAAAAAGAGCCAAATTCATCCACCCCAAGCTTTGCCATCTTGCCTTTGCTCCGTCTTCTAGAATAGAGTCTTCTAGATTACTTCAGTGACCCTGGCCCCAGGGCGTTGTTAGTCCAAGAGCAGGGGCCATGGGTCTGGATGACGTCAAAGAGGTCAGGGACAGCCTGAGTGTGGGTCACTTTGAAGTTGAGGTGGATGCTTCTGGGGAAATGCTTCCCGGAACAGCCGTATGGTGATGTAAGGGAAACAGCGCTGCCTGAGAACTGGATACTTGAGAACTGGATACTTGGGTTTTACTCCAGCTCTTATAGCCAGCTTTTGTTAAGTAGTCTTGAGCCTCTGAATTACCTCATCTCTGAAGAACGAGCTTGCATGAGTTTGAACGAGATTTGAACCAGGGATCTTGATGTGTGCTGCTGGGGATTCCGAACCCCCTGAAACTATAAATACAGTTGTGTCTGGGGATGCTTTTCTGGCCAAAGGATAACACAGCCAATGTCAGAATCACCATGTGATCCATTGTCTGTGATAAAGTGAAGAGCCACCTGTCGAGTGTCACAGCAGCTCGTTTCTCAAGTTCTAGGGTCAGGGGTCATGGTGGACTGCTCCCTGGTTTCCGGAATATGCCTTCTCTTCACCTTTGTAAAATACAGATTTGTTTCAGTCAGTCTGACTTAGTTTGGTCACCTCGGATGGCACATGTGCTTTCTTTCCCCTGAGCCGAGACCAGTTGCCCTTTCTAGCTGGGACCCCCTTCTCTGGCTCCCCCTTTTATCCCTCATCATTCATGCTTTCATTTTTGTCAGGGAGCCTTCTTCTCTTGGAGCCTGCTTTTTTTAAAATTGCCCCTAACATAGCAGTGAGTGCCCTGTGATGAATGTGTGTGCAACCATCCCAACCAGAAGGTGCCTGAAGTTCAGAGGTGGCACCTGTGTCATTGTGCCATTTACCCCAGCACAATCATGGTACTTCCAATAAAAGCCTGGTAAATACTTGTCGCACAAATGAAGACGTTAAAAATGTTAGTTTTGTAGAGTGAATAGTAGGCCACTGCGAAATGCCTTGTGTCACAGGCTTCATCACCAAAGGAATTTAAAAAATGCTTTTGAGTATTACATAGGAGAAAAAGTGCTCATCCAGGGGAAAGTGATTACTGATTTTAAATGATAGATAGCAGCAGTTCCAAAGGGTGTTCAGGGGATTGTGTGCTAAGTGCTGATTAGCTGGTCACTTAGGTCAGGCACAGGCCACCATTTTTCATTCTGGCTAATAGATTGTAGATAATGGTGCTAATAAATTACAGGACCCAGCAGGCGTCAGGGAATGCTCACGGTTTTCAAGTTAAGGCTTTCAGGACCTCTTGATAGATTGTTAAGACCACTGACTGGTTACTGGAGACTCAGGATTAATCAGAGTTGAATGTTGACTTTCTGCTGGACTTAGTCTCATGCACACAGAGCTTGGCAAGGGTGGTTCCTCCCGGCCTCCAGCAGCAGGAACTGGGGTGACTCCAGACCTTCCCGGATCCCTGTCTCATGGGTGAGCATGGATTTGCATCGCTAATTCTTGAGCAGACCGATGGCTCTGATGTCTAAAAACTGCTTTTCACAGGAGTGAAGCCTCCGTTCTCTAGTTCTCAGGAGGGAAAGTTACACTTTTATTATGCCTGGGCTGAGGTGGGGAAAAACCCCATTAAAAAGTGCACTGACATAGCTGTCAGCTGAGTCAGTGCAGTGTGTCATTTAATCCATGTATATATGGATTCACAACCAAATTTTAAACGTATTAAAGTATTTAATTGCTACTTATTTAAAGTATTAGTATAGAAACTAATAAAAAAAATGGCTACGATGTCAGCTTTTTAGCTTGCAGAAATGTCACACCATGGGAAATGATGCCACATACGACAGAAGTTTTCACCCCTTCTCTTAAGCATATAAAAATAGCAGATGGCACAGAGAGACTACATGTTAGCTTCCACAAACTCGTTGACAAGTGTGAGAGGATAACTATAAAATGCCACTTGGAAACCAGGTGTCCAACCTTGTGGTACACTAACAGAGAAGATGTCTTTTATCATCAGCTACCCGTGCACACAGAATACACATTTCCTTAATTCTTACTCTTTCCCACAGGAATATCCACCAACTACACAATATCTCTGGTATCTTAAGGATCTTTGGGGAAGAATAGTACCAAATACCAGAAACAGTGGAGGTCAATGGGGGAATAGTTTGTACCTTTCAATTTTATAATCCAAAAAATTAAATTTAAAAATACTAAAAGAGGGTGCCCAGGTGGCTCAGTGAGTTAAACATCTAACTTCAGCTCAGATCATGGCCTCACAGTTTGTGGGGTCAAGCCCTGCGTCAGGCTCTGTGCGGACAGCTCAGAACCTGGCGCCTACTTTAGATTCTGTCTCCTTCTCTCTCTGCTCCTTCCCTGCTCACACTCTGTCTCTCTCTCTCAAAATAAATAAACATCAAAAACATTTAAAACTACTATGGGGCGCCTGTGTGGCTCAGTTGGTTAGGCGTCTGACTTTGGCTCAGGGCATGATCTCACAGTCCGTGGGTTCGAGCCCCATGTCCGGCTCTGTGCAGACAGCTCAGAGCCTGGAGCCTGCTTCAGATTCTGTGTCTCTCTTTCTGTCTGCCCCTCCCCTGCTCACTCTCTGTCTCTGTCTCTCAAAATAAAGTAAAGACATAAACATAAATAAGTAAATAAATAAAACATTTAAAAATAATAAAACATATTACCTTAGAGCTGTTAGAATGGCTGTTATCAAAAAGACAAGACATAACAGGTGTCAGTAAGGACTTGGAGACAAGGGAACCCCTGTGCACCATTGATGGGAATGCAGATTGGTGCAGCCACTGGGGAAAATGGCATGGAGGTTCCTCAAAACATAGAGGAACTACCTTATGATCTAGCGGTCCCACTTCTGGTATATACGTCCAAGAGAAATGAAGAGATATCGGCATCCCCGTGTCCCCTGCAGCATGAATCACAGTATCCAAGATATGGAAACCACCGGAACAGTGTCAGCAGATGAATGGATAAAGAAGTGAGAGAGAAGGAAATGATGTTACTTATGACAATATGGGTGGACCTTGAGGACAATATGCTAAGTGAAATAAGTCAGACAGAAAAAGACAAATACTATATGATCTCACATGTGAAATCTAAAAGCAGCCGAACTCCTAGAAATAGAGAGTAGCGTGGTAGTCACCAGAGGCTTAGGGAGAGAGGGAGGTGTTGGTCACTGGGTCCAAAGCCCCAGTTATAAGATGAATAGTGTCTGGGGACCTAATGTCTATCATGGGGACTGCATTTAACAATACTGTATTATATCCTTGAAAGTTGCTAAGAATAGATCTTAAATGTTCTTCACACACACACACACACACTCACGCACGCACGCACGCACACATCCACACCACACCCACAAAAAGTGGTAGTTGTGTGACTGGATGGAGGTGTTAATTAACCCTCCTATGGTAAGTCCCTGGAGAATATATGAGTGTATCAAATCATCCCAGGTACACCTTAAAGTTACACAGTGTTCATGGCACTTATAGCTCAGGAAAGCTGGGAAGAAATATTAAAAGACAAAACACAACACAGCAGTGTAGCTATACTGTGGAGTACTAGGCAGTTAAAGGTGATGATCTGTGTAGTGACACAGGAGGCCCATGGTACTGAGTAAAAAGAGCAACTGTTGGACATACATAGCGCTCTCATTTTTGTTTTTAATACAACATATTTGTGCAGTACACCAAAACATTAATACTAGTTCCTCTAGAGGAGAGGTGGAGGCTTGAGGTTACAGGGGGCTTTCCTTTAGGTATTTTGGTTACGTTTTCCTACTGATTATGTTCTATGTGTCTTTAAACATTTTTGGAAACTGCTTAAAATTAAAAATTCCGGGGACCCCTGGGTGGCTCAGTCAGTTCGGCATCCAACTTCGGCTCAGGTCATGATCTCATGGTTTGTGGGTTCGAGCCCCATGTTGGGCTCTGTGATGACAGCCAGCTCAGAGCCTAGAGCCCACTTCAGATTCTGTATCTCCCTCTCTTTCTGACCCTCCCCTGCTCACACTATCTCTCTCTTTCTCTCAGAAATAAATAAAACATTAAAAGAAAAGCTAAAAAATTCCAGTAGGAGGTAAAAGATGAAGAATTCAATTGTAAGATGTATGTAGCTATAGGTTAAGTCAATATTACATTAGTCAGTCAAGCCATGTCCAGTTTTTAAGTAAACTTGACAATGCAGTCACTACAGTAGTGCAGAGATGGGAAAGGTCACTTCAGGTTGATTGGTCATGGATTTAACTGGAAATGGGAAACTTAGCTCATGGTGTGGTTATTCATTTGCTTTGGTCCTTGTACCCTTGATGTAAATAGTAACCACAGGCTTTTTATTTGGGGGGTATGTGGTCCTAAATAAAACACTGAGATGTGTACAAATAGGGCAGTGGTTTCTTGTGTTGATTCTGCAGTGTACAGAAGGTACCAGAATAAACCAAAAATGTATTATTAACTCCTCTGGAAAGCAGGAATACACACACACACACCCAGGAGAAACAGAGGAGTGTATATATATATACAGGCAGCAGTGATCAGTGAGAGGGTCAGCCCAGCTGGCACAATCCCTGTGTACAGACTGGGCAGGGAAGAGAGTTTTTTTTTTTTAATTGTTTAAACATTTTTTAAACATTTATTTATTTTTGAGAGACAAAGAGAGACAGAGCACAAGCAGGGGAGGGGCAGAGAGAAAGGGAGGCACAGAATCTGAAACAGGCTCCAGGCTCTGAGCTATCAGCATAGAGCCTAGTGTGGGTCTTGAACTCACGGACTGTGAGATCATGACCTTAGCTGAAGTCAGATACTCAACTGACTGAGCCACCCAGGCACCTCCTTTTTTTTTTTCTTTTCTGTCTTTGACACTCTGGGACACCACTCTGTGGGGCGTTTGCCAACGATCTCATGTGTGGTGCGTGCTTAGTTGGCAGTAGCCATGTTCAAGCTGGCACCCTGATTCTTCACAGGGAAACAGGTGTTCTAGACAAGTCACTAATCTTACATGGCATGGTCAAGTGTGATTGTAAGATCTGTTATCATAGAGTCTAACCATTTATTTTAGCTTTTACTGTATGATTTGTCATCCTTACAAGCTGTGATTTATTATTGATGCTCTGTTTAGCATTTTATTTATACCTTTGCCTTAGCACTGGACTGCAAAGCCAGTGATTCTTCTAAGAAGGTACAATGACCAGGGGGCCCTGGGTGGCTCAATTGGTTGAGTGTCCGGCTTCTATTCAGGTCATGATCTCACAGTTCGTAAGTTCAAGCCTCATATTGGGCTCGCTGCTGTCAGCACGGAGCCTGGAGCCTGCTTCGGGTCCTCTGTCCCCCTTTCTCTCTGCCCCTCCTCAACTTACACACTATCTCTCAAAAAAAACACAAAAAACAAAAAAAAACACGTTAAAAAAAAAGTGATGACCATGTTTGAGTATTTGTGTTTTGTGACATTTTTAAAATCGTAATTTTTTCTTTATGCTTTCATGATTAAGAAATCTAGAGACACGGAGTGTAGATTTCTTGCCTAAGACTCTGAAACTTGAAACATGTCTAAAGAAATCGTAACAGACATTCAAAAGAATTATCCTTTTGATCAGTAAAATGCAAAAGAGTTTGAGGTACTTTAAGCTTTCACAGTATGTGAGGGTAGTCTTTTAAAAAAAATTCCTGTCACCAGGCCTAGCAAATACATGTCTCGTGTCTTTAACTTCCTTGCATTTGAGTATATGTATAGGCAGCCTTTGGGCAGAGGCAGGAATAATTTGTTGTATAAGCATAAGAGATTTCACTTTCTATCTCATTCATAGACCCAGCACCTCAGAACAGGAAGTGAGGTGTAAAGCCTCTGCTGCCTCACATCCCTTTAGGTGTCCTTCATGGTATAAGCCCATCACTGCCCTTGGTGGATTCTGGGACTTTAAAGTATGTATTTCTTTCTCACCTGGTTTGACCCTTATTAGTGACATTTTATAGTGTACTTACATAGAGACTCTTTTTAATGTTTGTTTTTGAGAGAGAGCAAGCAAGAGTGGGGAAGGGGCAGTGAAAGAGGGAGGCAGAGAATCTGAAGCAGGCTCTGTGCCATCAGAGCAAAGATCGATGTGGGGCTTGAACCCATGAACCATGAGACCATGACCTGAGCTGAAGGTGGACACTCAACCAACTGAGTCCCCTATGTATCCCATTCACTCAACCAACTGAGGACCTAGGCATCCCGTTCACAGGTACTTTAACATAGGCCGATCTCATGGATACGTTGACTCAGGTACTGTTCCACTGACTCAGTACTGCACCCAGTACATATGTGTGGGATGGACCAGCCTTTGCTGGACTAATTGTTAGGAAAAGAAATGATTTTGCCATCTGCATGACTAGTATATTGTAAATATCTTGTGAAACACACAGATTGTTCTTCTGAAAAGTTTGTTAATAATGCATTCATTGTTAACACTTTCCATGCACTCTGATCATTTTCGCTTCATTTCTTAAAGTAACTTAACCAGTCTGTGCTTACATTTTACTTAGATTAGTTTTATAAAATTAGAGTGCAACTTCTCTTCATATCTCTACATAGAGTTCAAATTAATTTTCCATAAGCCTGTTAATTCAGAATGGCATCTATGTCTGAAAATGCAGCATTAATCTGTTGGCAAGATGTATAGGTAGATCTCCCACATGTGTTAACTGGAGATAGGTGTGCAATTTCATAAAAGAAAGAACCCCAGCAATATATGCAGTCATAGAATTTCTTAGGGTATCGATGAGCCAGGATTTCTTTAAGAAAATGGGCTTCATCTTGTAGCTCTCAGAATGTCATCAGCTCGTTCATTATTGTCCAGCTTATGAAGACCCTGCTAAGACTGTAATTTAATACATAGAGCCATCCTTAGAGTAGAAATACCTTATCAAATACAATCTTAGCTTCTTTAAACCTTTAAATACCGGTATCTAACAGAGGCTTGGTTGTTTTCATAGTACACCATCAGTAGGTAGACATGTGTAAAGCACTATTTTCACCCCTAGCTCTGTTAGTATCTTGGGCCACATAATGGTTGTCGGGGCTGTCCTCTACATTATGGGATGTATAGCAATATCCCTGGCCTCTACCCACTAGATGCTAGAAGCACCTCCCAAAATGTCTACAGACACTCCTAGACATCCCTACAGAGCAGAGGTGCCCTTGCTTAAGAACCACTGCACTAAAGTAATCTTCAGAAAGTACAAAGTACATATGATTCCTGGTGCGGGTCTTTGCTAAATAGAGTTAACCAAGTGTAGCCACTGTGTCAGACATTTGTGTGAACATAAATATAAAATTAATCTTCAGTTGTCACATTACAATTTTTAAAGTGCTTTAATATATACAATCTCATTTGAAACTGAAGCAAGGTAAAGTGGACATTAATTATCACATAAGAGTCTGGGAAGTGGGAGGTCTAGAAACTGGAAAAGACACGTTTGAAATGGATACCTAAAATGAGCTCCTTGGAGAAATGCAATCCATGAGAAAAACTTCTTAATCTTTATTTGAATGCCACTGAAACTCTTCAACATCCCAGGCATCTCCTTCCTCTTGTCCTGATTTGCCAGGCACTACTGGAAACAGGTAATCGTCGGTGAGGCTGTCGCCACTGACTCAGTAAAAACTGCTGCTTCTGGATTCTTCCACAATTACACTGGCTTTTTTTTTCCTCTTTAAATCGAAACCTCCTAGTGTAAGACTTGGCTCATATATTCTGTAATTTCCTCTTGTTTTGCCCTGTGGCCAGAGGTGCTAATAAGAGAGATGACAGCAGAGGAGGGAAGCCCAGTGACCGACCGAGGAGTCTGGTCACAAAGAATATGGTCAAGGATCTTACTATAAACATAACATCTTGTTCCACGTTGACCCCAATCCCGGTAGGCTCTTTGTAATGGTTTTATTCAGTCTGCATTGGCAGGAATTGACGTCATTATAAGATCTGAGACCTTGATGTCTCCTTTTGTTTTAAATTAGACTATTACATCTGCCTTTATCCCTGACCGCCTTGAAGCTGAAGGCCCTGTGGTTGTCGGATAACCAGTCCCAGCCTCTGCTCACGTTCCAGACGGACACAGACCACGCCACAGGAGAGAAGATCTTAACCTGCGTCTTGCTTCCTCAGCTGCCTTCTGAACCTACTTGCCAAGGTGAATTTAAGGACAACACTCACATGGCCACAGGCTCCTCCCAATAGGAACAGGAGCCAATATCTGTCCATACGACCTCTTGCTCCCACATGCACCTAGGGCCAGCCTGGGCGAGGTCACTGCGGGTCTCCTCAGGGAAGGCTCCCTCGCACCTTGGCAGGAAACATACCCTTCACACCTGCTTCTCATATCTGAGATTCCTTACACGGCCTTTTGGGTTTGGATTATGGCTAAGGCTGAAAATACAGACATTCTTTAAAAAGTTAACGGACTCCCTTACAATCCAAACTGATGGTTTAGAGGATGAGTACTGAACACCACTGCCAAACGGCATTTAAGCCATTTTGTTGTTTTGAGTCATTGTTCCTTTGTTTTGTGAATTATGTGTGGTTTGAAAAAATATTCACAATAACATCAAATTGCTATTAAAAATCCTTTACCGAGAGCTGGTTTTTATAAAAGAGACCTAGAGTGCTCTGGGAGGACAGGAGCCCCCTAAGTGGTAAGGCCCCAAAGCACCTTGCTGATCCCAGCCTTGTTTGAGGAGCTTTTAAGACCCCAAGGGAAAAACCTAGTGGAATGTGTTCCTGAGGAAAGTACTGGCATCCAACCTTTGCAGCCACATCACTTCCATGAGAAAGTTTTTAACGTCAGTGTATAGAAAAGAATTGTGAAAAAGGATTCTACAAATTATGATGACATTCTCTAATTAAATATTAAGCCTTAACAGATCTTTTCTATGACCTCAAATAGAGCCACACATCACTGAAAAGAAAGGATGACCCTGTCCCAGACTTTTTTCTTTTTGCTTTAAATTTTTTGAAATGCTACATAGCAGTTACCAGTCACATGAACCACCTTCCTGGCTGATGGGGTCTTTGTCACAACAGAGAACCTGCCTCGCTGTGGGGCCCTGGAGAGCTTGGTGAATGATGTGTCTGATGAGGCCTGGAATGAGCGTGCAGTGAACAGAGTCAGTGCAATCCGATTCTTGGAAGATGAGAAAGACGAAGAAGACAGTGAAACGGTATGGAGATGGAAATTGTTGGCCTCCCTGGAAAATAAGGGTTTCTTTTAATTTCAAATTGTCTGTTCTCTGCTTTGGCTTCAGCATGTAAAAAAATCTGTAGAAGGCAAAACTAGGTACTTCTAGGTGCTGATTCACCAAATGTATATAAAGCAAATGGAACTTTGGGGGGTTTTTTGGTTGTTGTTTGAATAGTTTATATTCTTTTTCTTTTTTTTTTTTTTAATGATAGCTTCCCTTCTTGCCTCCAGTAAATTGATGGGGAATTTTTTCTGTGTCTGTTGTTCTCGGTGAACAAAATCTCCTCCCCATGCCCGACTATAGGCTCACCGCGCTGACTCCCTTCACATCTCACAGTGTGTGTGACTCAGCTTGCCTTCTGTGGAGCCACGTAACCTTCTGTCTTCTTCTCATAACCCTTCTTCACCTTCAGGCAGAGCACTTGTGGCCTTAGTTGGTTAATTTGCAAGGTTTCATCCAAAAATCAGGAAGGGATTTGAAAGTACTACTTAGCCTTACTCCATCCACACTGAAACATGTCTCTCAACCAGCCGACATCTCCAGGAGTCGGTGACCACTCTCAAAACCTTACTACAAGTTGACTTTGGCCTCTTAAACTCCTTGTGCTAAGTGAGATTTTCATAAGCAGAGCTTCGAGGGAGTACTTGCAGCCCCCACAGCAAAGGGTGGCTTTTAAATTCCACCCTGTCTGTAGTCTTTATTATTCCAGCTGTCACTGGGACTTCATCCACTTACAGTATGCAGTGCAAAGTAGGAATGAGGCACGGAAGATAGCTCCTCAGGGCTGATACCGCCTGCCTTGTTGGAGGGGAACGATTTCCTCCTTCACTGACTCAGTAGTGCCCTGACAGTTCTGTGTTAACCTACTTGAGGCTTCTCCTGAAACTCCCGGACAGTCCATCTAAAAGATACAGATACTGTTTTATGAGCCAGAGGCCATGTGACATGTCAAATAATACATTTTTGTTAAAGATTGCCCCTGCCCTATCACTTCACTTCCAGCACTGTGGCCTTTATTAGAAGATTGTGAACTCCAGTAGATGACATAAATAACACCCACAGCAGCAAAATAAGAAGCCCTTCTCCCTCTCATTTTCTTTTCTTCCCCATCTATGTCTCCAGGGTTGAAGGAGGTCAGGACCACATGGGGTAATAGAACATCGCAGGGATTTTAACTTTTTTTTTTTTTTACCCCTTTATCATCTTCTTTCTCCACACCCCACACTAACATCTTAACTTTCCTTTCTTGCCATTCACAGAACTTTATTTTCATATTACACTAATTGCACATTTTATGAAGTATTCTTTATTGTGAAAGTTATCTTTCAGTCTTGACAAGTCCCGTGCCACACGTTCATGTGCCCTTAAGTGCTTGCTGGTAAGCAGCTGAGAAATACGTAGCGAGAAACAGACGCTCCAGCCCACTCTAACTCATAATCTCGTGGAGGGAAGGAGGCCGCCTCCTCCAAGCTGCCTGCTGGAAAGAGTAATGGCATAAAAGCAAAACACTCACTCCCCTGTTTGTTTGCAGAGAACACTTCTGAGGCGAGCCACTCCACACCCCGGGGAGCTAAAGAATATGAAAAAGACAGTGGAGAATTTACGGAATGACCGGAATGCTGCTAAAGGACTGGATTCAAACAAGAACGAGGTCAATCACACCATTGACCGAGTGACCACTTCTGTATAGACCTTCACCCGCAAGTTTTACCTCCCGTGTCTCCCCCTGCTGTTGAGATGTTGCCGGTGCCCTCCGGAGGAGCCTCACGCAGTCCTTTGTCTTCCCTGGAAGGCGGGGAGGCACATGCCACCCCCAGGCCACCTGCCGGGGATGCTGCTCTGTCCACGGAAGTGCCTTACTGCGGTCCCGGCGCGCTTCCTGCCCCCCAGCTTCCAATCGGTTGTCGTAATAAGTAGAATACACTACTGTAAACATCTGGCCTTTGGTGTTGTCTTACGTTGGGGTTAGGGAGCACAGGAAGGGGATTGTTTTTGTCCTCCTCCCTCCCGTAAGGCGCCAGGACATTTTTCTCTTGGACCTACTGATGAGAGATAGTTTTATGTACGGGGAATAATTGATACTTTTTTAAAACCTTTTTTGGCAGCTCAGATGGTGTACATTTAAAAAAATTTTTTTTGTATAGGTATTTCATAACAAAAAATGTGTATTTCTTTTTCATTATTTTATCATGAAAACGGTACATATTTTAGTATTTGTGCAGGAGGAAAAGCGCAACAGTCCTAAAGTATTTGTTTTCTCTTTCACCATCCACTTGTGCCTTACTGTGTCCTGTGTCATGTCAACCCAGCTGTACACAGCGGCGTCCTTGAGCAGTCAGATGAGACTAAGAATGTGGTACTTTTAAAGCAGTGTTGGATTTTAATCAGTAATCTGCCTGGTGGATTTGTTTTTAACCAAAAAGAAGAGTTACCACCAATTTGTAACTTTTATCAGTTGATTTTTTTTTTAGAAAGATGAACCAAAGGATTAGACTGCTAATACTTTGTTTCTTACACTTTTTATGAATGAGTCTCTTATAATGAGTACAGTATCTGATTGTACCTACTTGGAAGGTATATGCCATTTGTAAAATAAAATCAGAAAAGCACAAAAGGAGAAAACTGGTTCAGGAATCCAGTGAGTAAATGAATTATGTACTGCAAAAGAGTATGATTTTTATTGAAGAAAGCTTTAAAAGTTTTATACTGAGATATAAAACCACAATAAAGCGAAATAACCTAAAACCATATTAGAAATGTTGCTATCTTTGTAAGTGCAATTCTGTTTGTAAATAGAGTTTGAATCAAAGTATAACAGAATATTGCTTCAAGTTTTAATTTTAAGTCTACTAATTTAAGAGGTATAAGGATATGTTTTGGTGCGTTTCTGTTGATTTTTTTTTTTTTTTGTATAATGTGATAAAAGAGAAATGAAAATGCCAGTCACTATGTGGTATCTAGGAAAATCATGATATTGTTGGCTTTTTTGTTTTCTCCCCATGAAATAAAATCATCCTGGAATTAACCATACAACTTTTTAAGCTTAATTATCACCTTGTATGTTCAGATGATAGCAAGTAGCTGAGTTCTTCGACAGTGTGCTCCCATCCATTAAATATCTAAACTACTGGTCAGTTTTGAGTTAATGGCTTGCCCCTTTGGCACACAGGACAGACACCAGAAGTGCCTTCCACTTTGGCTTGTGGCTGTCTGGCCGATTGGACTCATTGGAAATCTGCTTTCAACCAACCAAATATAGTATCTTCTATGACTACTAGGCATTTAGTTACTCTATTCATTTTGCTTTTTTTTTTTTTAATTTTGAGAGAGAGAGAGGGAGAGAGAGAGAGCGAGTGTATGCAAGTGGGGGAAGGGCAGAGAGGGAGGGATGAGAGAATCCCAAGCAAGCTCTGCTTTATCATTGCAGAGCCTGATGGGGGGCTCCAGCTCACAAACCATGAGATCATGACTTGAGCCAAAATCCACAGTGAGATACTTAACCGACTGAGCCACCCAGGTGCCCCTCATTTTGTTTGTATATGTGTATATATTTTTAAATATATATGAAGTTTTTGTCTATGTGTATATATTTTTAAAAACTATTGAGTTGGTAGTACCATAACACATAAGTGGGTTTTGGCTAGTCAGTTTTTTACCTTGCTCCCTAGTCTGTGGGCACCCTTTCTGTTTTCTCCATTTTAAGATTTAGGCATACTCTGTTTTAGGCCTATGAAGATGATGCCACTAATTCATGGGCTGACAAATAAGCAAACTGGTTTTACTCAAGGAGAGTTATCTATATGCTAAAGAACAAATATAACCCGAATGTTGTTTTTTTGTTTTCACATTAAGTTTACCCTTTGCTACTCAGTTTATCATAGCTTTGGTGGAATGTGGTGGGCACAATAGAGGTGTGCTTAAAGTTTTCTAGGATATTTTATGTACGAAACTGTCTGTTTCCTTTGGCCTACCTTCCTTACTACATTTTCACCGGGTTGGGTTTTTGTTTTGATTTTAGTGTTTTATTTTTAGTTTTTGGTATTTTGTTCCCCCTTTCCTGGAGAAGGGAAGTTACTTTCTTGTCACTTGTTTGTTCTGGGGGACACTGCTGTGCTCCTTACCCTAACGGTGCTGGAAGCTGACCTCACAGTGGGAACATCAACCAGGGACCCAACTCAAGAACATGCCAGCCTTTTCCAATGAAGCCTTCTTGTCATTAGAAGGAAAACATAATTACGTGAAAGGATACCTTTCCCTTGTGAGGCTAGTGCCAAAATTCCTGACCTCTTCCTAGAGGGGCACTTTCCACACCCTCCCCGCAGTGTGGCCCTTCCTTCCTTCAGGAAAGGGAGGCGTTCACTGTACAGCCTGTCTGTTTGTCTTATGGGAGTGACACGTAAAAGCGGGAACGATTATTTTGATCTGTTCACCTGCTCTTTTTGTAGCCCCCTTATTTCCTGTTTTTAACAAGGAAATTTCGCCTAAGTGGATAAAATAGAAAACAAAAAGTCGTGGAAACTAATTTGACAATAAACTATTTGTAAAAAAAAAAAAAAAAAAACAGTGAAGAAAATAAAAGTGAATATACCTGGGGAAAAAAACAAAAAACAAAAAGTCATTGATTAGAAAAAAGGTATAGGTAAGAAAAACTAGAACTATTTTCCTGGATGTTGTGTTTTTTTAAATTTTTAAAAAATGTTTATTTTTGAGACAGAGAGACAGCATGAGTGGGGGAGGGGAAGAGAGAGACACACACACACACACACACACACACACAATTCAAAGCAGGCTCTAGGCTCCGAGCTGACTGCACAGAGCCCAATGCAGGGCTCCAACCTATGAGCCATGAGATCAAGACCTGAGCCGAATTTGGACGCTTAACCCACTGAGCCACCCAGGTGCTCCCAGATGTTGTGGAGTTTTTGTTTTTGTTTTTTCTGGAACATTTGGAGGCGTGGTCCTGACCAACCCAAACTTCCTCTGTAAAATCTTAGCTGTCGCAGGTGAGGGAGCACAGGTGGAAGAGCGAGCTGACTTCCAGAACAGCTCTCCCGCCCCTTGTGAAATCCACCACACCTGAGCGACATGCTGACTGGTGGGATGGAGGCTGGCAAACATCCTTCCTTCGTCAGAAAGTTGCTCTCAGCTGCCGTCTAACCTTGTGATGGTGACTCCCTGCTGCAGGCACTGGCGGCGGCCATGTGACGGGCCGGCACAAACACTGAAGGGGACAGCCTGTAGCTGCTTATTCATAGAAGGCAGGTCAGGGTTCTCCTATCTCCCTGACACTGTGGAGAGTTGAAATCTCGCTTCAGCAGTTAGTGTCGACATGCCCAAATTTCCAAAAAGCCAACTTAAAAACTAAAAAATCAAAACCCCAAACTTTTTATTACAGATAGTCAAAAACATACAAAAATAGAATTATATAATGAACCCCCATCTACCTATCACTCAGCTTCAAACAGCTATCAACCCAAGACCAGTACTAAGCTGTTTTAAAGGAACCAAATTAGAGGCACCTGGGTGGCTTGTTCCGTTAAGCATCCAACTTTGGCTCAGGCCATGATCTCATGGTTTGTGAAATCGAGCCCCGCATCAGGCTCTCTGCTGTCAGCATAGAGCCCTCTTTGGATCCTCTGTCTCCCTTTCTTTGTCCTCTCCTGTGCTTGCTCGCTCACTCTCTCTCTCTCAAAAATAAACATTAAAAAATCTAAAGGAATGAAATTATGTTTTAAAATACATCCATAAAAAGAATACTGCACAGTGAAGTAACTTAAAAACTCAAGAAAAGCACAACACAGGCCCTTGAACGTAGCACCCTAGAGTTACTGGTTTTGAGAGTCTGTCTGGTCCAGCACTGGAATCAAATAGACATGGATTTGAATCCCAGCCAGGCAAGGTGGCTTTGAGTAAGCTACTTAACATCACCAGGCCTTGGGTCCTTCATCTCTAAAATGGGGCAGTAATACCTCTCACATGCTTAGAGTAGGATTAAATGGGATACATAAAACATCAGCTCTCAGAAAGTGGGTGGCTGCTATTATTACAGGTCTCGCTGTTGTTGTAGGAGTGTTATAGCAACTCTACAATGCCTACCAAGGAGCCAGCAGTATGTGATCACAGGAGCAGTGTTCCTCAGAAAAGGGGATGCATGCTCGTTCTCTGGCAGAGCAAACTTTCTCACTTGCGGTGTTACAAAGAGACCCTTGAGTTACATAACTGGGGAGGGAAATTTTAATTTGCCATGTCGACTCGCCTCACGGTAAGGTTAGCAATTGTCTCACAGCAGCCCCCTCATTGTAACCGGACTTACCAGCTTGCTATTCTCAAGTTAAAGCTAGTTTCCACCAAGAAAGCATGAAAACATCTAACTGAGAAAAGGGTCTCTCTGGAATTCCACAAGATGTCCCTGGGTTTCCAGGTTTGGGTCTATTGTGTTCCTTTACGTCCTTGTATCTACTTTATTTCACTTTTATTTATATTACTTCCTCCTTCTCTGACTCCTCTCTCGAAAAGGGAGACTTCCGAGGCTTTTATGTGTCAGGAGGGGCAGGTGGGTATAAGAAATGGGTCATCCACGGAGAAAAACCTGGATAAAATAAATAAGCACAGCCTGATTTGGGCAGTGTAGAGGACACTTCCACCTGGCTGGTGCTTTTTAACAGCTGACAGCTGGCGGGAAAGAGAAACCAACCAGAAGAACCTGATCTGATTACTTTTGTTCAGCAGGTTCTGAGGAAGTTTGGAGAAGTTTTGTGCCTCATTGTCAGCCAGAAGGACAGTGTAATTTTCAGCTGTGAGAGTGGGCAATCCCAGGGACAAACCGAGGCTCTCGAATTCTGACTGGATAAGAATCTGAATGGGTTGATCCTCCAAAGGACCCTTTGAGGCATCAGCGTGCAATTCTACAACAAACAATGAGCTGCCCCTTGGTGTAGCGAAATGGTAGTGACCATGGCCCTGCTTCCTGAGTGCTTACTATGTGCTACACACCAAGCTAACTGAACACTATCTCAAAGTTCCAGAACACCCGCCCAAGGTAAGTTGTGGCATTCCTATTTCACAAAGGAGAGAATTAAGATCCAGATAGTTTTAATAACTCTTCCACAGTCAAGCAGCACATGACAATGTTGGAATTCAAA